TCTGTCACGGCTTACACGACACAAGGTCATCAGCTCCCCTTGGTCGCCTCCCTCCTCCTCCTGCCTTTCCCTGGCTCCCTACGGCCAGAGATGAGCTGATCTGAAGCCAGGAGCTTCTGCCAGATCTCCCAGGCGGGTGCAGGGTCCCAAGGCTTTGGGCCGTCCTCGACTGCTTTCCCAGGCCACAAGCAGGGAGTTGGACGGGAAGTGGAGCAGCTGGGAGTTGAACCAGCGCCCATATGGGATCCCGACAGATGCAAGGCCAGGATTTAGCCAGTAGGCAGTCATGCTGGGCCCTCTCCCTTATTTTTAAGACTCCAGGGCCTGGGAGATAAACAGAAAATGGCCCATTATCTTCATTTTGAAAATGTTTATTTATTTGAAAATCGGAGGGATCTTTCGTCCACCGGCTCACTGAACACTCACAACAGGCAGGCCTGGGCCAGGTGCAGGGACTCTGTCTAGGTCCACCCTGTGTGTGGCACGCTCCTAAATACTTGGGCCACGACCTGCTGCCTCCCCAGACACATTTGCAGCTTCCAGATCAGAGAGGTGGGACAGGCCCTCCGATACAGGGGCGCCAGGGACTCAGTGGCAGCTTCCCACACTGGGTCCCAATACCAACCCTCTCCACACTTTACGGCTCAGAGAGCCCTGTACCCCCCCCAGGCCACTCTGGCCAGGCCACACTCACAGCAGACAGGAGGATGGACCACAGCCTGCCCAGGAGCTGCTTCCCCTAATGTGTGGTTATAACCACGCGGTTCAGCTGACCCGTCTTCCTCTGGTAACAAGCCCCGCTTGGCTGAGTTTGGCTGTCGCAGGCCACTGTAGTCAGCAGGCTCAGTCTGCCTTCTGGCAGCAGTGCTGGGAGAATGTCCTGGAAGAGACAAAAGGGTCCGGGGTCCTAGGAGCCCCTCACGGGCAATGTGGCCCTGGTTCCCATCCTGTGCAGTCATGCCCAGCCTGCTGCTGCTGACCAAGTGGCCCACTGGGGATCAACTGGGTGGGAGGCCGAGCTACCAGGAACTCTAACAGTGACGCCAGTGATGCCAGTGACGCCACGGGTCTCTGCCGCCCTCTGCTGCCCAGAGCCAGTCTTGGTGCAGGTTGCCCAGGCCCGGCTCCCAGGGATCCTGCCTTATTGTGCAGCTTCCCTGCTCAAATTTGGACGTTTTTCAGCTGGTGGCACCCAGGGCTCTGTTCACTGGGGCTAACCATACCCCTGGGCTGTGGGCACGAGTCTTGGCTTTTCCCTGTGCCACCTGTGGAGTGGCCTGACCCAGCTGTGCTGCCCATGCCCCAGCCAAGGGAGAGAGTGTGGGGGGCCAGGGGAGGCTGGGGGACACGACTTGGACCCTGGGGGCTGGGGGGGGGGGGCTTGCTGAGGCGCCTGAAGGCAGAGGTGACCTAGGAGAGTGGGGTCCCAAGCTCTGCCTGACTCGGGGCTTCTCTGTCCTGGGCTGGGTCCTCGGTTTCATCCGGTTAGATTCTCTGCAGCATTCAGCCGGCGTTGAGCAGCAGCACACGCAGGAAGGGCTTCCCCAGCCAGGACATCTTTTTCCATTCTGCCACCTCCCACCAGGTGCCCCAGCTCTGACTTGCTCAGGTGACTGGCTCTGTGCCTGAGCTGCATGGGAAGTGGAGCAGCTGGGACAGACTGGTGCCCACGTCTCTGCCTGGCCTGACTGGGTGGAGGAGAAATGGACTCGTCTGCTGCAGCTGCTGCTAGGCCTGTGTCAAGGTCAGTCAACACTGGCCTCAGGGGCACATCCTGCCCAGGCAGCAGGTCTCATGAGGCTGTCGCTCCTGCCACTCTACTGTGAGTAGTGGGAGCTGCTGGCACGCTCCGTGGATATGAGGGACCCTGTGTGCACCAGGACATGTGATCCCTCTTCCATAGCACAGTAGTATTGGGGTGGACAGCTGGGCACGAGTGGGCCTCCCTTTTCTAGCACCCCCTGCCTGTGCAGAGGTGTGTGGGGCGTGATGTGTGTTTCTCGGAGACCTGGCTCAGGCCCACACTGGCTCTAATGGCAAAGGTGGCCACAGCAGTGGCTTTCTGGCCAGTGGACCGGTCTCTCTGACTGGGGCGTCCTTCAGGAAGTGTGATAAAGCCCTCTCAGACAATGTGGCCACTCTAAGGAGTGGCTTGGCTAACCTAATCCTCTGGGGGATCCAGGCTGATTCCTGGAGCAGGGCCCTTCTGGAGAGGGTCACGTCCTGACTGCCAGGAAGAGGAGAACAGCATGGCACCTGTGTGGGCGCTGGGGGTATTGAGGTGTTCTCCAGCCCAGTTCTGTGTGGGCACAGGTGGCAGCACAGCTGAGGTGGGCCCTGGGAGTGTGGGCTGCCCCACCAAGGAAGCCACCTGCAGCTGCACAAGTGCTGGGGTGGCGCCTCCATGTGGGGTACTGGTGGGGCAGCACCCCGGAGTCTCCCAGCAGAGGCTGACAGCACCCAAGATGCTTCTCTCTGCCCGTGGATGTGGGTGCTGCCAGGGGTCTAAGGTGACACGGCAGGAACCGGGCACTGAGTACCCATCCTCACCTGAAAGGCCCTTCCTCTCCCAACACTGTGTGCCTGCCAAGGACAGCCTGCATCCAGCCACAGGTTTTTTTTTTTTAATAGGAAAGGCAGATTTACACAGAAGAGAGTCACAGATTTTCCATCCACTGGTTCAGTCACCAGGTGGCTGCAAAAGCTGGAACTGAGCCCACCTGAAGCTGCAAGCCAGGAGCTTCCTCTAGGTCTCCCACATGGGTGCAGGGTCCCAAGCGCCTGGGCCTCCTGTTGCTGTCCCAAGGACATTAGGAGGGAGCTGGGTGGGAAGTGGAGCAGCTGGGACATGAACTGATGCCCATGGGGGAAGTTAAGCCCCCATGCCTTGCCCATTTGTCTTTCAATTTGGGACATGGCTGAGGGGCATCCCTTGGGCTACCTGGTGTCCCCCTAGCAGCCCAGCTCAGTCCAGCTTCTTGCCCCAGTGAAGTCACCTGAGTATCTGCCCACCATCTACTTCCTGGGGCAGTGCAACCCGAGTGCAGCCACACTGAAGCACCTGGCTGCAGCCATCCGAGTCGCTGTCGCCTACCTGTCGGGTCAGTGATGTGTCTGCCAGGAAGGACTCCTTGCACAGCGTCCCTCCCACACCCACTCTGAATAATCCAAGTGGCCCAGCAGGTAGCACCAAGTGCGCTACACACCAAACGTCCTGGCTGCCTCAGGCATTGAAACACAGCTGGATCCCTCATGAGGACTTTCTGCTGATGGCAGCCCCTGCCAAAACACCCACTCTCTTCAGTGGAGCTTTTAAAATTCTCATTTTAAAAAGTATTTATGTGGTCCTGGTGCGATAGCGTAACGGCTAAAGTCCTCACCTTGAATGTGCCAGGATCCCACATGGGCACCGGTTCTAATCCCGGCGGCCCTGCTTCCCATCCAGCTCCCTGCTTGTGACCTGGGAAAGCAGCTGAGGATGGTTCAAATCTTTGGGACCCTGTACACATGTGGGAGATCCAGAAGAGGCTCCTGGCTTCGGATTGGCTCAGCTCCAGCAGTTGTGGCCACTTGGGGAGTGAATCATCAAACAGAACATCTTTCTCCATCTCCTCTCCTCTCCATACATCTGCTTTCCCAAAAAAAAAAAAAAAAAAAAAAACAACCAGCATTTATGTGACTGAAAGGTAATGAGAGAGCAAGAGAATCTTCTATCCTCTGGTTCATTTTCCAAATGCCTCCAGCAGCCAGGCTGGCTAGTCAAGAGCCTGGGGATCCATCCATGTGTCCCACCTGGACGGGAAGACGCATCACCTGCTCCCCAGGCGGGGGCTGGATGCAGGGAAGACACCTGTGGCCGGGAACTCCGACCTGCAATGTGGGCTTAACTCATCGCGCTACGGTGCCTGCCTGCCCTTACGTAACGTACAACGGCTGGGGAATTCTTGGGCCATATTCTGCTTGTGAGTCTTGAAGCCTTCGATCTCCGCTCATTCTGCAAGGTAGATAGGATAGCCTGCCAAGTTAGTCCCCAGAACCCTCAGGTGGCTTAGGCCCTCGCCCCAGTGAGTACTGCCAGGTCCCTGTCAGTGAGCCTGCTTCCCTCCGCCTCCCAGCCTGGCTCTTTCCTCACTGTGTTCCCGCAGTGGGCAATGTTAGGGTGCTTAAAGCTGTCCGCAGGGGCCCTCCTGGAAGCCGTAGCACAGGTCCTGAGGCCAGACCCGCCGAGTCTTCCTTCCCGGACTCCCAGCCTGAGGCTATGCAGCAGAGGGGCCCTGGGAGCCACCCCAGCAGGGGATTCTGGGCATTCTGGGTACAGTGCCACCCAGGCAGCACTGGTCATGGACCAGACATATGCTGGGACAAGCTGAGACCCAGATGACACCCGGCAGGACCCTGCACCAGTTATGGGCATGCAGTAGGGTTAAACACAGTCAGGGCATGACCCAAGGCACCAGGCCAGGGTCAAGTTGGCCTGGCACCAACACCTTGCCCACAATGAGCCCTGGATCAATGTTTTCCTCAGAAAACGAAATGGCCTGCAAAAAATCTGACAACACACTGACTTTTGTTTAAAAACTAGAGCTGGCGGGGCGTGCCAGACAGCTCCCCTATGTGCTCCCTCCTTACTGCCTCACACACGCGGGCCGCCCCACAGCCCGTGTCCCCGCTGCCCACGGCCCCGCACACCCGGACCTCGGCATCCCACAGCCCGTGTCCCGCTGCCCACGTCTGTACCCCCTGCCCCACAGCCCACAGTCCCGCACACGCGGATTCCGCGGCCACGAGCGCCCAGCTCCGTCTCGGGGCCGCCCCCGAGGACGTCCTGGCCCCTGCGTCACCCCACCGCGACGCACCTGCCGGGAGCCGCCGTCGCCCTTTGATGCCGTGCGACGCCAGCAGGGTCGGAGGCGGGACTTCCTGGCGCGCAGGCACAACTTCCGGAGGGAGGCGGAAGACCTGTGGTCTGAGCGCTCGGGGAACCCGGGGCGGCTTCGGGGTCACCGGGGGCAGGGCGGAGGCCGCGGGGCCGGGGTGCGGCGCTGCGAGCGATGCGGAGGGGCCATGGCCAGCGACGGGGCCAGGAAGCAGTTCTGGAAGCGCAGTCACGCCAAGGTTCCGGGCAGGTGGGTGTGACGGAGAGGGCAGGGTCGGGGTCAGGGGGCGGAGGTCGCGGGGTCGCGAGTTTTGGGGTGACGGCTGCCTGATCCCAGGGTCCTTGGGGAGCTCGGGCACGGGAGCGTGGGCTCTCGGAGGGCACCGTGGCAGCCCTGGGCAGTGACGCTGGCCGCCAAGTTTTCTCGGGGACGGCCCGAAGTTCTCCGCCTCCCGAGTCTGGTTGTGCGCCCCGAAAAGCTTGGGGTCGGGAGGCCTCCGGCGGCGGGTGCTGTGCAGGGGCTGTACAGGTTCCGGCCCCGCCACCCTGGTGGGCGCCCCGAGAATGTTCACGACCCCCCTCTTTTTGGGGGACCCCTGTAGTACCGGCAGCAGGCAGCACGTTCAAGCACTTTTATTATTTTTGTTTTCTTTGAAAAATTAAATACCTGCTTGCGCTCTGGAAGCTCCGAAGTCCTCATGGGATTGCTGTGGGACCGCACCCGGCCACAGGAAACGGGAGTGCCGGGCTGGAAAATGCCCGGAGTGAGCGGCTGGGCGCCGGCGGCCCCTCCAGAGCCAGCACGCTGTGCCCAGGGTCCAGGTGTGAGCTGGTGGACACCAGGGATTGAGATTCCCAGAGGAGTGGGGTCAGGTGGAACACTTGGGGCCACTGGCTGTGGTGGCTGCCTGCAGTCTGGGCTGACCTAGGACCTGGCCCGGCTGTCACTGGCTGTGGTGGCTGCCTGCAGCCCAGGGAGGCCTGGGATCCGGCTGGGCAGCTGCTGGCCATGGCCCTGGCTGCAGTACAGGGTGGCCTGGGACCCGGCAGGGTGGCCGCTGGCCATGGTGACTGCTCGCCATGGTAGCTGCCTGCAGCCCAGAGAGGCCTGGGATCCGGCAGGGCAGCTGCTGGCCATGGCCTTGGCTGTAGTACAGGGTGGCCAGCAGGGTGACTGCTGGCTATGGAGGCTACCTGCAGACCAGACCGCCTGCTGTCCGGAGTGGCCTGTGACCCAGCAGGGTGGCTGCTGACTGTGGTGGCCGCCTGTAGTCCGGAGTGGGCTGAGCAGGGTGGCTTGCTGACCGCCCAGATGCAGTGGCTTTAGCAAGGAGGGTGTCAAGTGGAGACCCTGGCTTATTGCTTTGGAGACTCAGCAGGGACCTCAGCCGGGACCCCGCTGGGGTCTAAGGGGAGGTGGAGGTTTGGGGAAATGGTGTGTGCCTTGGCGGGAAGCTGCAGTCGGGAGCCAGGCAGTGTGGCACAGAGGTGGGAACTTTGGGTGGCATCGGAACTACTGGTTCAAGGCACACCTCCCCTTTAATTAGCTCTTGGTGGACACCTGGGACCTCGGAGTGAAAGCACTGCTGTGTGGCGTTACTTCTGTACCCCAGCCTTCACACCAACGACCGTGTCTGTCCAGAACCACTTTGGATATGGGGTCCTTGTAGAATTAATCAAGTTAGTAGTCAAGCATACTGGGTTGAGTGTGCCCTGATCCAGTGACTGGAGTCTCAAAAGGTGGGGATGTGGACACAGACGTTAGGTGAGTGGACACAGGGTGGCAGAGCTGAGCCTGCAGGGCGTGGTTAGGAGCCAGGGCCAGCCGTGGATTCCTCGCAGTCACCCTAAGTGGCTGTGGCAAGGACCTGACTGGGAGCGTGTGATGTATGCTGCCGCCTTGGCCTTGGGCTTCTGCCTCCCAAACAGGGACAGTGACACTTCCCACCTGCCAGTTCACTCCTCAGAGGGTCCAGGCCGAAGCCAGGACCTGGGACGTCATCTGGTTCCCCCACGTGCATGCCAGGGCCTGAGTGCTTGAGCGTCACCTGCTCGCTTCCCAGGCAGTTCGTAGGGAGCTGGACCGGACATTGTGGTGTGGAATGTTGGCTGTGTAAGCTGCCATGCCGCAATGCCACAGTGCTAGCCCTACGTGCTGTGGTGTCAAGACAGAATGTGAGGTCATTTGTTGTGACAGCCGTAAGATACTGCCACACGGGGTCCTGCAGCACCCAGGGTGCACAGTTATCTCCTGGATGTCGATTCTGTGTGATTGGAGACCCTTCTGGGAGTGGCAACCTTGTGCGCAGCACAGGGGCTGGCCTTTGTGGCTGATGGTGGCAGGACAAGGAGGGGACACTGGGCTGCAGACAGGCTGTGCAGCCTCTGCAGGGCATGCCGTGTCCCTTGCTGACCGTGTCACGTGGCTGCTGGCCACGCACAGAGAGCTCACTCATCATGTCTTGCAGCTTCGCCCACTCCTTCCAAGGGTTTGCATGATTGTTTTTTCGGAGAGCCCTGTCATCCCAGGAAAACTCAGGAGGAAGATGTCACTATTCCCAAAACATGAGCTGGTGTCTGTGGGTAGCAGTGCCCAGGGGGCACGCGACTGTGCTAGTTGCTGCCACACAGCAGCTGTAGTTTGCTTGCCACATGGCAGACATTGGAATGGGCTTGGTTTTTGCTCCTGGGTTGGCTCCTGTGAAACACCGTGTGGAGCGCGCGTGTGTGTGTGTGTGTGTGTGTGTGTGTGTGTGTGCACGCACATGCATGCTGGCCAAGGCCCCTTCGGCTTACGGCTGATCAGGCTCCTGTGTCTTCCCTGTGCTTCCCTCTGTCCTGCTTTGAACGTGGCCCTTGGTGGCACTGAGGCCCTTCAGGCCCAGGTGTCCTCCTCCTGTCAGCATCACGTTTTTCCCAGGGCTTTACTCTTCAAGATTCAGCCTGGGCCCCCGGCTCCTGAAGTTGTGCCCATGTCTGTGCAGCTGGCCCCAGGTGCCTCTGCTGGATCGCCTTCCGTGCTGTCTGCGTCTGCTTGGTTTCTCCAGTCGCTGGGGAGCTGCGGAGTCGCTGCAGTGTGCCTGACACATCTCTGCATTGTTAATATTGATAGTTGGTGTGTGACTACACCCGTTGGGCGGAGTGTGCTGCTTGTCCGATGGGTGTCACCTGGCGGTCCTCGTGGAGCCCTGGACTGCCCTGTGGCCGTCGGCCGTGTCTGGCTGTCTGGATGATCGGGGTGTGTGCTGTGGTAGAGTTCTCTGGGTGGGAGTTGGCTAGTTGCACATTCCAGCCTGGCTCTTTCTGTTGGTATCAGACATTAGCCAAGGCCTGTCATTCCTGCTTGGCCTTCAGTGTCTGCATTTGTGAGGCTGTGTTGAATAATACCAGGCCTGGTGTCTGTAGAAGTCACTCTTAAATCAGTTTTGAGCTTGATAATTTGTTCATGCATTGACTGCTTTTTATTATTTCTTAAGGTTTATTTTTATTGGAAAGGCAGATTGATAAAGAGGAGAGACAGTCATCTTCCTTTTGCCGGTGCACTACCCAGACAAGCACAAAAGCTGGCTGAGCTGGTCTGAAGCCAGGAGCCAGGAGCCTCTTAAGATCTCCCACTTGAGTACATGGTCTCAAGGACTTGGACCAGCACTGCTGCATTCCAAACCCAGAACCAGGGAGCTGGATGGAAGTGGAACAGAAAAGATGTGAAATGGTGCCCGTACAGGATGCTGGAAATTGAAGAGGACAAAGCTGAACCACCCAGCCAGCTGCTGCAGTAACTTTTTAACCTATATTGTACAATAGGACAAGCCGTCACATGCGAAGGCTGTATAAGAACGTGCTAGGGGGTGGTCTGTGCTGAGTGTGCGTGACACGTGGAGCAGGGTCAGTGTGAACACGTGGAGCAGGGTCAGCGTGTGTGAACACGTGGAGCAGGGTCAGTGTGAACACGTGGAGCAGGGTCTGTGTGAACACGTGGAGCAGGGTCAGTGTGAACACGTGGAGCAGGGTCAGTGTGTGTGAACACGTGGAGCAGGGTCAGTGTGTGTGAACACGTGGAGCAGGGTCAGTGTGTGTGAACACGTGGAGCAGGGTCAGTGTGTGTGAACACGTGGAGCAGGGTCAGTGTGAACACGTGGAGCAGGGTCAGTGTGTGAACACGTGGAGCAGGGTCAGTGTGTGTGAACACGTGGAGCAGGGTCAGTGTGTGAACACGTGGAGCAGGGTCTGTGTGCGTGACACGTGGAGCAGGGTCTGTGTGAACACGTGGAGCAGGGTCAGTGTGTGTGAACACGTGGAGCAGGGTCAGTGTGAACACGTGGAGCAGGGTCAGTGTGAACACGTGGAGCAGGGTCAGTGTGTGTGAACACGTGGAGCAGGGTCAGTGTGTGTGAACACGTGGAGCAGGGTCTGTGTGAACACGTGGAGCAGGGTCAGTGTGTGTGAACACGTGGAGCAGGGTCAGTGTGAACACGTGGAGCAGGGTCAGTGTGTGTGAACACGTGGAGCAGGGTCTGTGTGTGAACACGTGGAGCAGGGTCAGTGTGTGTGAACACGTGGAGCAGGGTCAGTGTGTGTGAACACGTGGAGCAGGGTCAGTGTGTGTGAACACGTGGAGCAGGGTCTGTGTGCGTGACACGTGGAGCAGGGTCAGTGTGAACACGTGGAGCAGGGTCAGTGTGTGTGAACACGTGGAGCAGGGTCTGTGTGTGAACACGTGGAGCAGGGTCAGTGTGTGTGAACACGTGGAGCAGGGTCAGTGTGCGTGACACGTGGAGCAGGGTCAGTGTGTGAACACGTGGAGCAGGGTCAGTGTGTGTGAACACGTGGAGCAGGGTCTGTGTGAACACGTGGAGCAGGGTCAGTGTGTGTGAACACGTGGAGCAGGGTCAGTGTGTGTAAACACGTGGAGCAGGGTCAGTGTGTGTGAACACGTGGAGCAGGGTCAGTGTGAACACGTGGAGCAGGGTCAGTGTGTGTGAACACGTGGAGCAGGGTCAGTGTGAACACGTGGAGCAGGGTCTGTGTGCGTGACACGTGGAGCAGGGTCAGTGTGTGAACACGTGGAGCAGGGTCAGTGTGTGTGAACACGTGGAGCAGGGTCTGTGTGTGTGAACACGTGGAGCAGGGTCAGTGTGTGTGAACACGTGGAGCAGGGTCAGTGTGAACACGTGGAGCAGGGTCAGTGTGTGTGAACACGTGGAGCAGGGTCTGTGTGAACACGTGGAGCAGGGTCTGTGTGAACACGTG